AAGTATTTATTTTAATATTCTAAAAATAGTAAAACTATATTATTATTTTTCATTATCATTATTATTTTGTATCCTATTTTATTTTAATTATTATTACTTGTTATTTGTAATACTATTTAAATATTTTAAGTATTATTTTCATGAGTTACTATCATTATTATTAATATTATTGGTATTTTAAATTAAAAGTACTTTTAACATTTATTATTATTGTTATTTTAAAGTATTTTTCATTATTTATTATTATTAATAATATTATTATCATTTATTTGCATACCTAATTTTATAATTATTTTCAGATATTAATTATTCTAAAGCCTTTAATTACCTTTAAACTTCAAAAATTTATAACTTCCTCGTTTTAAATCCTATTTTGGCGTGCCATACCTCGTTCTTTTCAGAAAAACATTTATTTTATTTTAAAATTATTTGCAAACATTAAATATTATTTTTTTGTTATAGTTTTGTACAAGTTTATTATTTGATTATTTTACTATTATTTAAATAATAAATATAGTAATTATTTTTAAATTAAAAACTATTTTTAAACCCTTTTTGAAACCTCGTTTGGGTGGCCAGTGGGATCTCCCGTATATTTATCTATTATAAAATTGATCTATTTTTAATTACATTATTTTCTAAAATATATATATTTATAAGTATTTTTAATTACTTTAAAACTATTTATAATTAAATCCTAATCTTTGGGAGATCCATTTCCAGTAAAATTTTAAACATAGGTTGTATATGTGAAGAGTAATCATGGGGGAGTAGATTAGTGATCATTTCATTAATTGCATTTATTTTTCTTTATCGTAGTTTGCATGTGTAGGATGCACGAGCACTTAGTTTAGGCTCTCCTAGATCTAAGGACTTCATGTGTTTACTACTTTTGTGTATTCCCATGCATTGTTACCTTGAGGATTAGTTCAAAACACAGTTTAAACCTTTATAACGTAGCGACACCCTGAGGACAATAATTAAGGACCCGTCTAGCGAACTTAGAAAATTTTTATGAGCTAGGGTAGATCATCGATTGATATGAAAACTTTAACACTTAAACCTAGCGACATTTGAAATATCTTAGAATTTTTTATGAATTTTTAGGGCTCTTTAGACCCCTTAATTAATCAACCATAATTTACCCGTTAAATAGGGCCCAATACCTTCTAAAAATTACAATAAATTTATTTCAACTCAAAAAAATACCCACAATACCTCAAATTGTTTAGAATTAGGTTCTTAACTAGGGATAAATAGGGCACTTTAGGTTGATCTCAGCCTAATCCTTAACTTAGCCTCAATTGAAAATTACCTTTTTGTCTCTAATAAATAATTAAAAAATATTAAAAATTCCAAATTTTTCCCAAACACTTGAGAACACCTTCTTAGGTCATTTATGACCTTTAGTGGTGATTCCAATCAGTTTGGAGCTGATTTGGATCAAAACCATAAAATCCCCCCTTAATTAGATAATTTAAATAATTCAATAAATATCCAAACCTTAGAAATTCATAACTAATTGTAAAAAATTCCAAATTAGAAAAACTTAATTAAATTTAACTCTAATTAGGGTCTAGTATTTATTAAAAATATAAGGATTCCAGAAACTAGCTTAAATCTAAAAGTCAACTCTCCGGCCAACCTCAGCCTATAGTCTAAAGTCTGAAACTTAGAAAATTCATAGCTTTGCCTAGGAAGCTCCAAATTCAACAAACTACATGTCTAACTACTCACCTTAAGGTCTAGTATTTACCTAAAATGTTAGGAACCCTAGATCTAGCCTATTTCCCATAGCGACCTTTTGGACCCTGCTCAGCCTCATACCTAGGAGGCTCCGGGACTTTCCAAAATTAGATAATATTATTTAAACTTAAAATATCATCACCCTAAGCATTAAAAAGTGATCAACAAACTAAATTAATTGAAATTGATCTTAATCCACTAATTTTGAATTTGAACTAAAATTTTCTTTTCTAGCCTTCAACAAATTGAACTCTATGTAACTTTAACTAATTACTCAACTTATGATCCATCATAACCACACAAATCTTACACACACATAGAATTATTTGTTAGGGAACCACTTATAGATCTAGGCTAGACCGGTGTTTTCTTTTCTGCTATGTGCTTAGTTTTTTCTAAGGTTTTCACTGCATGTTGTGATAAAATTACTGTGTTTGCTTACTTTACTGTACTTTGTGAAATTGATGTGATGTAAGTTAGATATACCCCTAGATTTGGGATGGCATATATATTGCTTTTCTTGCAGGTGTTCATGCTCATGCAATGTTAAAAGGGGGCAACTATCATGATTTATACTAATAATATTTTGTTCATGTGCTTGCTCAGCCCTCATAAACAAATGAGGGCTAAAAATCATTAATAATAACTACTACAGGTGCTCTAGAGACTGCTTAACCCTTAGTAATTAAGAGCATGATCAAGCATGACTGTGATGTGTACTTTTATATTCATATAAACTGCTTGGGATTATAACTGCTTGGAATTTTTATTAGGATAACCTTACAGGTGACCTTAGATTTACTGCTTTCAATTAATGTAATTATTTGTAATAAATTATAAAGAGTTATGAAAATGCAACTTTGAGTTATCCAACTCGGATTCTAAAAAAAGAAGGCATCCTCATAGGGGAGAGTCTTCTTTCACTTGGAAGATCGAGTTTAGATGGATATAGATATCCAAAGAGAAAAGGCAACACCCCTTTCAGGGGAATTGTCTCTTCGTTTGGATATTCAAGGCACGACGGATCCAAGGAGTCCAAGGAGGAGAGTTCCAAGGAGTCCATGGAGGAGATATCCAGGAGTCCAAGGAGGAGAAATCCAAGAAGTTCAAGGAAAAGAAGTCCAAGAAGACCAAAGACTTGAAGACCAATATCCCACTCAAAGTCATTTGCGTCAGTCCTAGGCTTAGAAATCCGGGTTGTTGGCAGTGGTGCCCGACCACTTTATTTTCTACAGACCCTGGGTTATAATTAAAGTGCAGTTGGCCTATGAACATTTAACTAATTAGTTGATTTATATTGATATGTTTTACTTATGCTGTGTGCCTTTAAGATTGCATGCTCTTTCTAGTTTATTGGTGAATTGCATGCCATATTTTGGTTTAGTCTAGATATTCGTTAGGCTCTTTAAGGACTACAAAATTTTTTTACTCGTAATAAGAATTTAATATTTAAGGTTTAAATAATATAAAAACTTAATGAAGCTAGGGAATTGCCGGGATCGTCCGGGGTTGCATACATAATGCTGCATCTCTCTCTCTCTCTCCTTCTTATGAGACACTTCCCCACCTGCGGGTAAAGTCTGGATAATCTGGCATATGAGGATGAGGTGCCGGACCTGAGGAAGTCTAGACTCCTTATAAAAAAATTATTTTCTAATAAGCTTGTTTTTAAAATCCAATGCATATTTGATTTGGAAACTTCAACTAGCATGCATCGCATTAGAAACAAATCTAATTAAAATTTAATTGCTTCAGTTAGGAGCATTTACCCAACATAAGTCCAGGATCAATTAGGAAACTCTCTAGATGTCGGTCCTATTTACAAAAAAATTATACCACCCACCCATCTTTCATATATGACTTGATAGCATAATTTTAAAGCAATTAGGTGGTTAGTTGGCTCCCAAATTCAGGTCGGTGTATGTACAAATCTTTGCACTGTATTAGTTAGGACACGGGTGTTAGTGTGCGTAGAGCACTAAAGCCAACCTAGACTTAGGATTCAAGGCTACTATATTCGGTCTCGTAGTATGCCTAAAATAGTAGGTAAGTTCCCTATTCTCTAGGGACTCTAAATCCTACTTATCTGCGTCACATGGATGACGTCACCTTCATCATTCTCTCACGCATGTAATTGGATGCTTGATCTTCTTTTTTTCCAGTTTCTCTTTATTACCCTAGAAACTCCGAATGCTTGTGTGAACCACACATGTTGACTGATCCATTTGAGACCTTTCTTCCTTCTTTAGTAAGACTTCTTAGTCTATACCCTTGTGCTAATCCCACTTTGAAAGGGATAATATATGATCCTTAATCGAGAGTCTTCTCGGGCTCCGGCTTGGAATGTAATTAACCACGGGGGCTTGCGCCTGTGGGAAACTTGACCCCACATCTAATAAATCCCGCTCGAGCTGTTGTATCGAGTGGGGGAAACCCGTTTTGATCAAGTCGTGTATATTACTATCCATCGGTGTGTGTTGGCGAGAGTCTCTATCCTCAATGGTTAGTCGTATGCACGATCTAATCTGCCCTTCCATTGACCTGTTCGTGTCGAGTGTAAAGGCCTGCGATCGTTTTGTCCTCCGGGATAGTGCGGTCGTACCATTTGCATTCAAACTCCACGAGCGGTGCTCTTTCGGAGGAACACATATATGTGTTCCTCTTTTCACTTAGAGAGATCGTCTTTATTATGGTTTTTAAGAGTGGTACTCTTCATATTTTTTAGCTTTTAGGTAACTTCATCATATTAGAATTTAGCGATATTTGGCTCGTTGGATTCATCTAGTCAAGATACTTGATTGACTATAAAAATGTAAAAATTGGAGATCATTTTAACTTTGTTTGAGGCAACTTTCTTAATTCTTCTTAAAATGACTTTTAAGTATAAAAATTTCTAGTTCAAAAAAATTTTACACTAAAAAATAGTTTTAGAAAACAGTAACAAAATTATCCCAAACGAAACCTTAGTCTCTAAATTAAAGTCATAAATTATCTAATTACACTAAGTCCATGTTTTGAGCTCATTTAGTCTCATTAAGACGTTTAATGTGACTATAAATTTCTTAAAATCAAAGTTCAAACGACTCTAAATTTAAATTTGAAAATTAACAATTTCAATGTGCATCAAAATGCGTGCATGATCGACTGAATTTTCTAGCTACACGCCTCATCTAGTTTTTACAGCTAACTTTTCTTTCCTATAGTTTCACAAGAATTGTATATAAAAATCACAGAACAAGCAGAGAAATACGTACTTCTCCACAGCTGATTCAACATCTTTTTTCTTGATACTTCCTCCAACTCCCGTAGCGAGATCCAACGCTCCAGATTTAGCCATCTTGAAATTCTTTTTCATCAAGAAAAACAACATTATTAAAAAAAAAAAATACAAATATTCTTATAAATAAAGCTGCAAATAGAGAAAAACTTTCTTTTATATATATATAAGAAAGTTGTTCAAGATAATTATTAGAAGTTAGGATTAAGTTAGAATTAATAAATCTTGTGATGCCTAAAATTAAAATATTATTTGATAGAGCAACTACTATTTTTTGCTAAATTATTTGACTATTTATTTTCATATTTATTTGAGAGGAGAAAATTTTATAATCATTTAAATTTTATTTTGAACAACTTTTCGACAGTTTTAGTGATAAGAAAAATACTTAGAGAAAATATTATGTGTTTGAATGATAACACTTTAACCCTTATTTCAATTTTTTTCTTTTTTTCTTTTTAAATATTTTTGAAAAGTAGCTGAGAAAGAAGCTTCTAAAGGCAAAATAAGAAAAACTAAGGTTTCGTTTGGGACGGTTTTCATATTGTTTCATAAAATAATTTTTTAGTAAAAAAATTAAAATTTTTATACTAAAAAGTTAATTTAAGAATTAATAAGAAAGTTATCCCAAAGTTTTGTTTGGTATGGCTTTCTTAGGCTTCGTTTGGGACGGCTTTTTTACTGCTTCTTGAAGCAGCTTTCTAATACAAAATTTTTAATTTTTATGCTAAAAAGCTGCTTCAAGAAGCAATAAAAAAGCCGTCCCAAACGAAGCTTTAATGCTTCTTAAGGCAGCCTTCTAATAGAAAAAAAAGTTATTTTAAGAAGTAATAAAAAAGTCATCCCAAACAAAGCCTAAATCTGCCTCAAATAAAATGTTAAATATTTAACAAATCGTGAATTTAATCAAATAAAAATTTGATTAATCAACACAACAGAATTTAAAAACCCAAAAATTATTTTAATAAGCCAAAAAAAATACACAAATAAAAAATTTAAAAAGAACAATTTTCTTGTATTTAAATGGAGAAAAAACAACCAATACAAGAAAAAAATTAAAGTTAAAAATCTTAGATCTGAAAGAAAATAATTGCATTACTATGGATAATTAACTAGAAATGAATAGAGGAGCGTTAATTATAAAAGATAATGATTTGATTATAAAGCTAATTAGGTAATTAGGCCATGAAAGATAATATACCTCTCCGTTGGCTCCTCCTCTCGTCGCCGCTCTCGCGCTCTCTGCAGTGCAGAAGAACGGATTTATAAGCACATCTGCAGAGTAAATACGTGTAACGTGAAGAACGGATTCCAGGGTGGTGACATTTGTATAAGTACACCCGCATAGACTTTACAATACGGTTAATAGTTTTTTTTTTTTTTTTAATTCAGCAAAAATATGTCACTATCTTACTATTTAAGGCATATTTATCCATGCAAATTAAAAGGATGGAGACACTTTATTTTGCCTCTGTATAAGCTCAGCGCTTAGTGATTAGAGCTATCGATATTGGACCTGATCCGAAAATCCGACCCGAAAATTTCGGGTTTAGGTTGACCCGAACCCAAAGCGGATCGGATTCGGGTTCAATAATTTGACCGAAGCGGGTCGGGTCGGGTTGATCCGAACCCGAAGCGGGTCTTGTTCGGGTCCACAAAATCGACCTGTTTACAAAAACGGGTCGGGTTGACCCGAACCCAAATAATATCGGGTCAATTCCGGGTTCGACCCAAACACGAAATTGACACCCCTATTAGTGATAAATCTTATGTGATTAAAATTTTGTTTGGAATAACTTTTTTATTATTTTTCAATATAATTTTTTAGTATTTTTTTCAAAACAATAAAAAAAATAATTATAAAAAAATTGTCGCATAATAGAATAAATCAGAATGCACCACGTCACCCCTTTGCTCGATACTGCGGATCGGTACTGCTCGACAAAGCTCAGCACCGTGCAACGGCGGATTTAGGGGGGGTGGGGGGCGCACGTAATTCCTTCAATTTTTATTATTTTGAAAACCTCATATCTCTTTTATAGAAAATTTATGTAATTACAATCAATAAATTCTATTAGAGCAGAATTATAATATTTAATTTAAATTAAATAGCCTAAATATGCTTTTTATAATTTTCATATATTTAGATTAACATGGCAATCATTTTTTTTTAATTATTATAAAATTTATCTTCTTATAAAATAATTATTATAAAAAGAATTAAAACCCCCTTAAATAAAAATTAATGGCTTCGCCACTGGCATTGTGGCTCGGTTTCGCTGACATGAAGCATTCTGACAAATCTCCACATGAGCATCTTATCACTTATAAAAATGGATATAGTAAAACGTAGATTGATTATTTTCTTACAAGAAAATTAGATCGTTTAGATTGCAAAGATTGTAAAGTTATTCCAAGTGAAAATTTATGTACTCAACATCAATTATTAGTTTTGGACTTTAAGATAAAGGGGCAAAAAATAAAAAATAAAGTAAAACGATTTTCTAGAATTAGATGGGGACATTTAAAGAATATTAATAAAAGTATTTTTGAGAGTAAGATTTTAGATCTTAAGATTCTATCTGTGCATGAGGATGCCAATATTATGTGAAAAAAAAATGGCTTATGATATTAAGAATATTGCAAAAGATGTTCTTAGAGTTTCAAAAGAAAATGCTCATAATAGTAAAAATAGATGGTGGTGGAATACAAATGTACAAGAAAAAATAAAAAAATAAGAAGATTTGTTATAAAAATTAGTTTAGATGTAAAAATTCTGATAATTAGGAAAGTTATAAAGAGGCTCGTAAGGAATCTAAGAAAGCTATTTGCGATGCAAAGAGTTTAGCTTTTAATAATTTATATACTATATTAGATACTAAGGAGGGAGAATGATATATGTATAAGTTAGCCAAACAAAGAGATTAGAGTAGTAAGGATTTAGTTCAAGTGAAGTGTATTAAGGATAAAGATAAAAAAGTACTTTTCTTAGAAGATGATATTCAACAAATGTGGATGATATATTTTGCTAAACTTTTAATGAAGAATGTGAAAATATGATTGATTTTAGTGACTTTATCACCAAAAATGAAAATAAAGATTTTAGTTTTTATCGACGTATAAGTAAAACCGAAGTTAGAGATGCTTTAAAGAAAATGAAGTGTGGAAAAGCTGTTGGACCTGATGATATTCCAAAAGAGATGTAAAAATGCTTAGGAGATGAAAGAATTTCTTGGCTTACTAAACTTTTTAATATTATTTTGAAGACTAAAAAGATTCCAGATCAGTGTAGAATGAGTGTGTTAATTCTTATTTTTAAGAATAAATGTGATGCACATGAGTGTGTGAATTATAGAGGAATTAAGTTAATGTGTCATACTTTAAAACTATGGGAGCGAGTTATGAAGCGTAGGTTGAGGCATGATACTAATGTTTCTCAAAATCAATTTGGATTCAAGCCGGGAAGGTTTACTATGGAAGCCATACATTTTGAGAGGTTTGACAGAGAAATATAGAGAGAATAAGGAGGATCTACATATG